CCAGAGAGAACTGAAGTGGGAAGGTAAAGAAGGGCAAGGCAAAAGGAGGAAAAAAGATCCCGTGCATACAAGGAATGGATCACAATGAAAAGGAGAGGAAACAAGATATAAGCAAGGGCAAAGCAGCACACTGCTCTCTGTTCCAACAGCTCACTCCGAGGGGAACATCTTGTTCAGTTCATTCACCTTTGCTCTCTTATATAGTAAGTACAGCTTGCATTGGCTACATAACATTCACCGCTCCAGTCAATTCCCTTGTTTTTTCCACAATCTGCTTGCATTTAATTAGGTTCCTAAACTCTCACACGTAACTGCATTTACAAAGCGGGTGCAATCATGGAGAGTCAGCAGCCCCAGATGGCGCCGAGCGGCGCAGGGCTGCCCCCACGGGAAGCGGCCGAGGCCCCGGTGTTTCACCTCGGAGCTCACAGATTGCAGCCCTGCTCGCCTCAGCTGCTCGTGCCGCTACCAGCCCTGCGGACATGAGGAGCGGAGGCTGCTCCACGGGCAGCTGAGTTAACATAACGGCCTGGCGCAGCAGAGAAAGGCAGCGCTGCTTCTGCTGTCTTCCCCAGCCCTGCCACAGGGTAATGCTTGTTGCATCCTTCCAAAGCTGTTTTACTCATTGAAATTGCAGGGCTCTTGGTTTTGTTTTGCTTGAGATTTTAGTTAATGGAGTGACCGCGGCTGCTCTTTGTGGTGAAGGTGTGCGCTGGGAGCCCGTGGCGCCAGCGCCGAGCGCTCTGCCGGGCTCCCTGAGGTGCGCGGGGCCGCCAGGCCGGAGAGCCGGGCCTGCGAGCGGGCGGCCACACGCAGCACCTCAGCGAACTGCATCGTTCATCAAAAAATATATGTATACAAATATACACACCCAGTAGGCTTCTTCATGTTCTTTCTCTGTGCCCTGGCATATCTCACCAACCTCAGGCCTTGCTTATAGACGGTAACAACATGAAAGTTCTCAGCTGTGCCTGAGCCCCTGGCACCTCCTTCAACCCAAGCAAATCCCTGCAATCCCTGTTGGGGAATTTGGGGCTGCTGATAAGTTTAAAAATACTAGGGAGAGAGATGAATGCTCTCCAGAGATGCAGGATCCACAGCACTAAAACCGAAAGAGCAGGTCGGGGAAACTTTAGTTGATAACACGAGGCTCATCTTCTGTCTATTGAGTTTCCAGTAATGCTAAGCTCCACGCAGAAGCACGGCACAAGCAGCAGCCAGCACGGTGGGAATGTTATGGGTTTTCCCCACTAGACCAGCACATATTTCACAGAAGTTGCCTTTAATCTACCCCTTAATCTCCTTCAAAAGGAGAAGTCTATCACATTTTGTAGAATATAAGCAGGCTGTATTTTGAGATGATAATTGTTTCACAGGTTGCAATGAATCTTTCTACGTTACTTTTTTTTTAATGACTGAAGTAAAAATGAAGCATTAAAATCAGAGAGATGAATTTGGGTTACCTTCCGGAATTCCAGTGATGCCTTAATATATCTGTGCAACACTCAATCGCTCAACAAGGCACCTAGCACCATGAACCCACTCATATAGTGTGTCACACATACTGGTGCAGAATCACACCTTAAACTGTGAAATGCATCCCTTTTTTTGTCCCCAAATGCAAACATTTATTTAAATCTATCCAAAAATACACGCAATACTCCCATCCAGTCTGTTGTTTTAAATAACTACTACTTAGATACAATTGTGCTACTTCCTTTGGCTGCTTTGACAAGGTTAACCTTGGTCTCCCTCTTAGCTACAGATATTGCTGTCTTTATGCAGACATCCTGCTGTCAGTATTTACAAGGTCACAGAAAAAGCAGCAGTCTGCCCTTGCTAGGTTTTGCTAAATAAAAGAGAAAACATGTCTTTGTTCATTGAGATTAGCACTGTCAAAAGTGACAGAACATATAAAACTCCAAGTCAGACATCATAAAAACAACAATCCACAAAACCAGGTCTTTGGGAAAGGCAGCTCAGTTGGGCTGCTCCTAATCAGGGAGCATGTATCCTTCTGCTGCTCCCCAGAGAATGATAAAGACAAGCATGGCTCCTGTATTTTCATGTCATTTGTATAATTTCAGGTTCAATTCAGCACTTCACTGAGGTCTACTTCCTGTTTCAATCACACTGTTATTTTAGCTAGGTGACCAGAATGACTTTTCCTAACTTATATGTTATCAATAATATCAGAATCTATTGCTATGATTCATGGCAGTTCTTTATTAGTGTAGTCACAAGGCATAGTAGTAATTCTAGAAGAGGGAAAAAAAAAAAAAAAAAAACCACTGACAGGCCTAAAAACCACTGAAGTGAAACTTAGTTCTTGTCCTTCTCAAGAAAAGGCAACAAAAGATATTTCATTTTTCTCAGCCTTTCTGAAGGTACATCTGAGCTGAAAAGGAAGAACAAGTAATATCTTTGTTCCTTCTGATTAATATGTAACTGTCTTGAGGACAGCTGAATTCCTACCATCTGCAGCCAATCTGCAGGTTGCTCAAATATCAGCCATATTTACTATAGACTTTGTGCTTCTATCCATCACCCTACAATACAAAGTCTTCTTTATATGTCAAGGTAGACTACAAAAATCCTGTGGTAACTGTGAAGCTGATTGCTTATGACTAGTCTTCATTTCTGCCAGCCCATTAAAAACAAACAAACAAAAAACAACAACAACAAAAAAACAAACAAGAAACATTTTCATGAACATTTTTCAATATCAGTTTTTAAATGTGAGCAAAAAGTAAATTAGAGCAAAGCCTATCAACTGTCAGTTCTCTTATTCTTCTGCAATGACTCAATACAAGAGTAATTTTTCATTGTATACATACTAAATAAGCCATACAATGATAATTGTCCCATATGAACAATAATGGGCTATTTGAAATGACGTATTTAAATAATTATGCCCTTACAAGACTTACCTTGCTGAAAGAATGAAAGATCTCTCTACACTTTCTATGTTCAGTTCATTCTGATAGGCTTCCTGGGTTGGCTTTTTAACCTACAGTCAAGAGAGAAAACTTCACATTCAAGCTGAAATTGTACTGTTTAAACTGTTTCAGTTTTCCACAATCAAATGCCTTTTTTTTTTTTTTAGTTGCAGAAGAGATAAATTGAAGAGAAGATCTCATGTATAGGAGATTATACACTGGTCCAGGCAGCCCAGTTACAGTAAGGCTACATGCAGCCCACCATTTTGTTTCCCCGTAGACTCCCTGCTAACACTGGAGATGCACAAGGGAGTAAAGCTCAAGAGCTGGCAGGCGCCTCCAGCTGTGCTTCAACCTGCCTAGGGCTTTCTAGGAGCTTCTCCTGCAATTAGGCAAAAACAAACAAGATATTGCTGCTACAGAACAAGCCTCTGCTGCTACAGGACAAGATGCAGCCCACAGATGTGGAATGGGCATCTTGCCCATACCACCAAGGGCTGGACCACCCTGGTGATCCTTCACTTCTGAACTCCTAAGCTTCAAATGTAACCGAGTTCAAAGTTGAGTGGTTTGGAGTCACCACAAAACACTTGTTGACTGAAAAGAGGCCACAGTTCTGCCTGTGAAAGTTTCAGAACTGAACTCCAAATGAACTTAATGCTTTTCTGCAACAGGAAAAGGGATGAGAAAATTAACTCCTGAGATGACAGTGTCTTGTTCCAACTGACTGTCATGTTACAGATCAGATCAATACATGATATGGATATTCCTTGTCACAAGCCTAAGCGCGTTAGATCTTAAAACTCGTGCTTTTCAGAAGGTTTAGAATCATCAAGCCATTTTTTTTCCCTTCACAATCAGCAGATCCCTATAAACCATAGAGATCTGATCCACCACAACCTTGTCCAACAGAGATACATCTTTGGATGTGAGCAAGGAGCAGTTACAAGGCAAGAGCAGGGCAGCCTAAACAAAATACAGACATAAATAAGGAAGCAGACTATTTCAGAGTAGCTCAGTACAGGATGAGGACAGAGGTGTATATGATCCTGTGCCAATAAAATTGTTTAGGGGAACGTAGACAGTAGTGTCACATACCATATTATGCAACAAACACTAAGTCTGTAGCACTGCTCTGCAATATAAGCAACTTTAACATCTCTTCATAATAACACACATAGATAACTTTTGAAAATTTTAAGACTTGAGTTCAAATGAATTTGGAGAAGGACTTATTTTAACAAACATCTTAGCGACTCACCTTCATTCCAGCCAATGAGAGCATGTTGTTAAGTTTATACATCCCTGACTGAACTGGAGTAGTATACAACAGGGCATCATTAAACTGCAACACAGAAGCAATTCTCATCAATGACTAAAGATTGTTTACAGAGAGATCACTTCAGATACATTTTACTGAAAACATGAAATTTGTACAGCATTAAAATCAACTGTCCAGGAGGGCATCTTATACCTCCCCATTACTTTGCTTAAAGCCCAAGAAACACTCTCATGTGTGAATTTAGGTAACAATAGGTATCTATTTATATCCTCACCATGTAAATATACATTTGGCACATGAGTAAACATTGCAAGGATGTCAAAGATCAGGCTGTCAAATAGGACAAAAAGGTTTCTCACACACACAGCCATATTGTATAAAAGTCTACTTTAAAAGAACATTAGAACTAACCTCTCACACAAAGTAAAACATCCCAACATCTAGAAAGCGTCAGAGTTAAGATTAGTAATTTACAATTACTTGGACAAACTTATCCACATGAACTTTACTTGTGTAAATGTTCCTTCATTGTTTATTTCCTTTTCTAACAGACTTGTCAATCTTCATTTACTGAACATAAACATAGACCAGAGGACTGAACTGTCTCGAGGCTTTTGCTATATGATCTTTAGAAAACAATCAAATGTTTCACAAGTTTTATTACATCTTCATCAAATCCTTGGTTACCACATGCCTAAAGGCACAGACAATATGCAGTAACTTTTACATATTTGGGGAAAAAAAGTGGGGGGGGGGAATCTGAACTAAGGAGTTTTAAATGAGCAACATCTACGTTGGGAAGCCCAGCCCGAGATAGCACAAAATTTATGAGAGTCTTACCTTGATGGGCATCATTTGCACTTTTATCAGTACTCTATATGCTACAAAGGAGTCTCTAGAGCTTAAAATACATACTTCAAAGTCTAGCACATGCACTTCAAGAGTGCCTAGGAAATATTTACGTATACTGCAGTAGCTGAAAGATAAGACTTCAGCCATGACCGTGAGCCTATAATGCCACAAATCATGCACAGCAAGCCATCTACTATCTAAAAAGTAGAGAAAAACAAAAGGTTCAAGTGGAAACAGAAACCTCAGAAAAACTCAAAACTCTCAAAACAGTAGCAAGGACAGGAAGAGAAGCCAACGCCATTCAGGAAGTGTGCTGACTTCAGAGGTGGGAAGGAGAAAATACAACAGCAGCAGCAGAGTTGTAGCATTTAAGGTCTAGAAGAACTGCCCAGGTTGGAGTAACTGCTTTAGTTTTCCAACTACCCAGATGTCCTCTCACAAAGTTGCTCAAATTTGAAGTAAGCATTGTTCAAAACAATAATTTTTTTTTCGAGAAATGGCTTTCTACTAAAATGTTACTGCATATAAAACAGACTGAGAAAATAAAGTGGCAACAGTTACTTTTGTCTCCTGATGGTCAACTGAAGTTATCAGCTATTTGTGACACAGCTGATTGAAACATTTAAAATTACACCAGTATCAGACACAGAAACATACACAACAACTTACCAGAAAAAACATACGGGGCTGCATGACCTTCCGGGACAGCTTCATCAATGTCCCTTCCTTCAGAAAGACCTGGCAAATTAAAGCAAATAATTCAAAGCTCAGTCTCTCAGGACACAAGCCTCAATAAATAAACTATTTTTTTTTCTTGAAATTGCTACACTTGCAGTGTTACCAAAGCCTGGGGATTCAGGGTATTAGCTTTAATACAGATAATAAGCACCTTTAAGCACACATGATTAGGAAGAAAAAAAGATCTGGTTATAAAATATACATGAAGTTAGACCTGTAATAAGAAAATTCTCCTGTATAGGCAGGAAACAACAAAACTTATATCAGGACCACTACTTACTGAAGACAGCGTAACCACCTTCTGCTATTAAAAGGTAGTTGCATGTGTGTGTATAAACATATAAACTTTTATATTCTCTAAGATGATGATGATTAACTGCCAAATAGGATGGAATATCCAGAAGACATCAATTCCACAGTATCTGGATCTAGGTAATAAAGCCAGATTATAAAGATCGTCATTCTGGGTGTCATGGTGGACGACAAGTTGACCATGAGGCAGCAGTGTGCCCTCGTGGCCAAGAAGGCCAATGGGATCCTGGGGTGCATTAAGAAGAGCATCTCCAGCAGGTCAAGGGAGGTGATCCTGCCCCTCTACTCAGCCCTGGTGAGGCCGCATCTGGAGTATTGTGTCCAGTTCTGGGCTCCACAGTACAAGAGGGATGTGGAGCTGCTGGAGAGAGTCCAGCGCAGGGCCACAAGGATGATCAGGGGCCTGGAACATCTGCCCTATGAGGAGAGGCTGAGGGAGCTGGGCCTGTTCAGCCTGGAGAAGAGAAGGCTGAGAGGGGATCTCATCAGTGTCTATAAGTATCTCAAGGAATGCAGTGAGGAGGATGGTGCTAGCCTGTTTTCAGTGGTGGCCACTGACAGAACTAGAAGAAATGGCCGGAAACTGAAGCATCAAAAGTTCCACAGGAGCTTAAGGAAAAATTTCTTAACAGCGAGGGTGACAGAGCACTGGAACAGGCTGCCCAGAGAGGTTGTGGAGTCTCCTTCTCTGGAGATCTTCCAAATCCGCTTGGATGCCACCCTGTGCCACGTGCTCTGGGTGACCCTGTGTGTGCAGGGCGGGTTGGACTAGATGATCTCTAGAGGTCCCTTCCGACCTTAAGCATTCTGTGATTCTATGATTTTGCTGTCACCCAAATCAGTAGTAACATTCACCTTGAAGTTTTCAGTTAAATCAGTTGGACTGTTCATGAAATGGTGACTCACAAGAAATATATTTCCACATGTGTTCTTTATTTGTAAATTCACTTGTCTCCATCATGAATCAGTCTTCAGCAGAAGTAACCCTCTTCTCTAAAGCCATGAATGTAACAGAGACTGAGGGGGCACTAAACATATTGTGTCTCCCTGGGGAAGGCTGCTCATCCTTATGGCTCACTAAAATGTTGCATTCCAATTTTCAATGCTCCATTTGAAACCATGAAAGATTAAAGGTTAAGCTCAAGATAAATACTGCCTGAAAGATTTGGCAGGGAATCACATTCTGAGAATTTTGAGTTGTCATGAGATAAACATATTCCTAAATACATATATAAAAAAATATATAATATAAATATACATATATTTTTCCATGTGCAATATACACACACACTTACTGCACATGGAAAAACAGTTTTATTTGACTGTCAGTACCAAATAAGTGATGAATCTTTTCTTTTTCTTATCAATATATGCCACCTTTGTTACTGTTTGTGCTATATTTTTATTGAAATCTGCCAAAAGCCATTTGGAGGACGTACCCGTCCCGGTTGCACAATCTCATGGTGTCCATTTAAACTGTACTGAATCTGCATGAGCTTCTGAAAGTTATCCTATTGGGAGAAAAAGCAGAGACACAAGTAATTGTCCTTAAATCCACACAACTATCTTTTTAACCAAAAAAAAAAAAAGAGGCAGTTTTAAACATCCAGCTTCCAGAATCAAAACACTTACCCCCTGCTTCATGATATCATTGGCATGGTTTGCAACTTCTATGACAACAGCCAGAGCATCTGAAATATGAAGAAAATGTTTTTGTTATACAGGCTAGTTGGCACTGGAATTACAGAGTGTGCAGGTACAATATTCCCCTTCACATCCTGCCAAGATTCAAGGACATGGTCTAACATTCACTGCACTCAGAAAGCCCTTCCCATAGATTCCAGAGGCTTTGGATCGCGGTTTGATTGCTGTGTCCCAGCAAGTCATTTATTTGGCCAACGGTCATGGCATCATTCATTTCTTATAGTTAACCAAAATAATCTGCCAGCAAAATTAAGTTTTAGCTTATCTTGCACAAATAATCTCTTTAACTTCAATTGCCCTACGTACAAGTAAAAAAGTTAGCAAGACTTCAACCGAAGTATGCAGAGATTAATCAAGCTTTTTCTAACATTTGCCACCAGTAGCTAGTAATGGACTTTAAATACTAGAAAAATTATTCAAATCTTTATGATTTTTTTCTGCCTTCACTTTTGTTGCATTTCAAGATGAAAAAAAAAATGAAAAAAAATCTGAAAGTGAAGAGTTATCAAAGATATCAAGAGGGATTTTACTAAGTTGGGGTGTTTAGTAAGTAGCAGCTCAATAGAAAAATATGCTTAGGAAAACATGCTGTGAGTAGTTATATAAAAAGTACATAAGTTACTGAATAGTGAGTCTCTATATTATACAGCATCCATCTGAGGATTTTATCCAAAAACCTCTAATTCACTTCAGTAGAAAAAAAGCCTCACTTAACTGAAAGCTAGCACAATTACTCTGACAAAATGATGTCTCTGCAGCACTTAGCACTTTTTGAATAACTGAAGTGCAGCCAAGCAGTCTAACAAAAGGAACTACATTTGCTTCAAAGTAATCAGAAAAGCTTCCCAAGCCAAAACTTCTGTGAACTGGGAGGTTCAGAAGGCCACAGGGCCATGTAAGAAACTGGACACAGACATGAACAGGGGTCTGCTAAGTCAATCTAAGGCAAACTTTTTCTTCAAGACTTTCATGAAAATAAGGCAAAGCAAGTACAGTGGTCAAACAGTTAAAAGGCAGCGAACATATCAAACGTGATCAAGTCTAAGCCTAGATATAGATGTCATGTTGTCAGCTGAGCCTGCTGAAAGTTTTCCGGTGGTCCTCTGATTAGTAAATGTTGGAGCTGCTCCAGCAAAACACTTTCCAGCTCCCATCAGCTCAGAAGAATGTGAAATTAAGGGTAATTTTAGACAAATTCGCTAAGGCAGGAATGAATGTCTGGCTATTTTGCTGTACTCTCCTTCTTATCAGCTATTATATGTACGAAAAACTTAAACTTTTACACATTGAGTTCAAAAAAGATTTCAGAAAGTTGCAGGAAACTTGCTGGTTCTTGCAGGGAAAGTTCAAAGATCATGGGCTTACTTATTGGGCCAAGACTCTAATCCAAATCTAAACCACAACATAAAATAATTCACAGGGTCAAAAGTTCATAAACAAGCTGATTTTTTGGAAAAGAAAAACATTCCACCTCTCTCACCACTTAGTTGGAATAGTGTATTTAAATGAAGCTCCCCAATAATTTTTTTTTCTTTTTTCTTTTTTTTTCCCCTTTTTTTTTTTTTTTGAGAATACTAACCATATAGCCAAACCTAGCCCTTTTTTTTCCTGCATGAATTAAATGACAAAGCAAAAAAAGTCAGAAGGAAGCTAAGCTTAATTATCACATGAAAGATTTTGGTAAGTAAAGATTAGAGATCAAGAGCATGGAAAGATAGGCGTTTCTTTCAAGTTACTTATTCTTTAAATGCTGGATTATTTAATGGGCAGTACAACTATCAGTTTATTCGTGGCCACAATCAGTGCAAGGGAAACTTTTCTATCTCCAAAAAATGTCAACACTGAAAACATTTTGTGCTTATACACGGTGTACTCAAATATTTGCATACGTCCAAGTATCTTAAAACAGAAACACACATTTGATGGTGCTGAACTTGGTTTCGCACATTGAAGATAAGGGGCTTGCACGAACACCACCAAAGTGACTGAACTCAATGAGGTCTGCAAATGAAATGGAAACACTGCCCGGGAGCAGGGCCGGGAGCAGGGCTGGGCATATTTGGCACCAGCTCCATCCGAGCGACCCTGCAGCAGGGAGTGCCGCCTCCTCCTCCCCGGCCATTCCCTCTCCTTCCCTCTGATAGCTTTTTTCCTCTTACTGCTATTTTTTTGAAAAGCAAATTTGGAATTCC